CACGCTAAGCTCTCTCATTTTCAGCCACTCTGTGTTGTTCAATCTCATTTAACATCTAGTGGGATTTCTCTTCCTGCTTTCTAGATTACTTCTCATACCATTCCTCATTTTTCTTGTCATTCAGTTTATGAGCACACATATGTTCATGCATATAACTGCTTATCAGGGTTCAGGTTTCCCATATAATTTTCATATTCTAAAAATTGTATTAAAAAAAAAGGTTTCTGTTGAAGTTAAGTTTCTTCTGGACGTCCAATTCTTCACAGATAATATCTTACATCTTAATCTGACTGAATGCCCCCTAATCATTTGACCTGTCAACTATGCTTTTTAACATGGTTGTGCATCATGTGATCTGCTTGCAGGCCCACGCTGTGCTGGAAATCAACTGTACTGAACAGCAACTTACAGTAGCCGTGGTGTCTGAAGGATTGCGACCTGCTCTTGCTGGTCACACCTCGTCTGCACCAACAGGTTTCCCGTCCTTGATACAGAGATGTTGGGATGCAAATCCCCAAAATAGGCCTTCTTTTGATGATATTATTCTTCTGGTGTCAGAATTTGGCCTGATCCTTTTACTGATCCTTCAGCATACCATCCAGTGTTGTCTTGGGGATCCTTCGGTACTTGTGGGAGAAGGGAGACAATGGAGGACACTCACTTTCTTATGCCCCAGATGTGCGGTGAGAAGGATATCCATGTGTTTGGAATCTTTGATGGTCATCAAGGTGCGTCATAAATTAAGAGCTACTTATTTTCATCCTATTGGTGTATTTGGTACCAAACTCAAGCAACAGTGGATTTTAATGAGAACTAAAGCTCATGTGGGTGATCACAATATTAATTAATAAACAATTGCTTGGGCATCACTTGAAGTGTTTCTTAATGAAACCAGAATGACATAATGAGCATTACAAAGCCCAACTATTACAAAATGGAATTATTTGGAAATTAGTTTTAAGAAATTAATGTTTAAATTCTTGAAGAATTCCTTTTTTTTTTCTTTTTTTTTTATAATTCTTTCTGGTTGTTTCCAAACATAGCCTATGTGTCGTGCATTAGTTGCTCTAGATTACAATAAAAATGGCAAGATCAAATGCAGGTGCAGCAGCTGTTGAGTTTTCTACTCGAGCTCTACCAGGATTTTTGCAAAGTCTTGGTTCCATAAAAAGGTTTCTTCCATTCTATTATTCTCGCGGGCTCTTTACATTCTATAATCTATATATGAATGTATTTAATATGAAGTACATATTTTTATTTTGTATTTGATAACAATGCAGTTCGTCCGATGCATTACTAGAAGCATTTGTCAAGACAGATGTTGCATTCAGGAATGAATTGGATTCCCATCGTAAATCTAAGGGAGTTATTCAAAAAGACTGGCATCCTGGTTGCACAGCCATTGTGGCTCTTATAGTCAGAAACAAGCTTTTTGTTGCTAATGCTGGCGATTGCAGGGCAATGACTGTGTAGTTGAAACATTCTATTAGAATAAAACATGGACCTTTTTTTAACTTATTTTATTAAAAATTGTCTCCTTTGCTTACCCAAATAGGTTAAATTGCTCTCCAACTAATTCAACTTGACACTGTAGGATCATGTTGCAAGTTGTCCTGAGGAGAGAGAACGTATTATCAGTGAAGGGGGACAGGTCAAATGGCAAGTTGACACGTGGAGGGTTGGGCCTGCTGCTCTCCAGGTTTTCTTCTTATCCTTTGCTTAACGATATTCTAGAAAATTGTGTAGACTATTGTCTTCTAATATGGTTGTCTATTGTGAGGAAGTATATAATATAAACTTATTTGTTTCGTCAAATTCTTTTTGCACCAAGTGTTAAGACCCATGAACCACCACTACAACCCATATCTAGGGCTATCTTGAGCATTATGATTATCAAAAATACTTATGATCACTAAAACATGAGCGAAAATATAAAAGGTAAGGAGTTGGTCCTCGAATCCTACTCCAACTTCTGAGCGTAGCGAGGAGGCTCCTTGTGTCCTGCATCGGCTGGTAGTTGTATGGAGGGTTCATCAGTTGTCACCATGAAGAGGAACATTATGCAAGTTGGGCTCAAAGCATTCGATGTGGTTGTTGACGGGGTTGATCGCAAGAAGATGTGGGTCGCAAAAAAGGGTAGATCTCTGCAAAGGTCCCTGATGTTGGGATTTGAAGTTCCTTTGTTGGCTCAAAAGAAGCTTCTTAATTCCTGAAGAGAGGTCTTTCGGGCAGTCTCAACCTCTTGGAGAGCGCATAGGCTTTTGGAGGTCTAGAGACTGGTGAATAGGAGTGGTTGCTCCTTGAGGTTAGGATTTTTGGGGCAAATCAGTGGCAGGTTGTCACACCCCAATTTCAGATTAGAAATCTAAGGCATGATGGTTAAGGGTTTAAGGCTAGTTAAGATTATTAAGTTAAAATAGTGAGATCTTCTATTGTAAGTTCATATTAGATGTGGACTGATTCAAAAGAGTAGGGTGATTGATGTATGTTTTAAAGCCTAATTTAGTGTTCAAGGGTTCAACAACAAAAATGGAAACGAATAGCAAAGCAAATGATTTAAATTTCAATAACAAGACTTGCTTCATATGTATGTGTGTTTATAATCGTAGTGTATAAAAGTAGCACACACCGAACTCTCTTTCCTCCCTACTTAAATCACATTACATTACACAAAAGAAATAGTACAGGTACAACTTTCAGGTATATACGTTACACTTTACAATCAGCTCACAACAGTACAATAAAAAAATACGGTAAATTACATTAAACCCCCCTCAACTATGACCTATTTTTGAGTTGCCCTCTTAATGTTTTAAAGGCAACACTTACCCCCCTTGAAGTATATGAATTGCAAAAGTCATTAACACTGTTAACAGAAATTATTAAGTTACCCTTTTACCCTTCAATTGTATTGCTACCAGACTACCATTATCTTCTTCAACCACTACCTAATTTCTTCCAAACCCTAATCAAATCAATTCAATCCCAAACCCTTAATTCCACAGTGTCTCCACAATTCCGATTAACAAACACAACAAATTCATTTGACAAAGGGAGTAAAGTCAGCCACTGTGAATCACCACAACAATCCCATATTTTTGCAGGACCTAATGATCAACAAAGGGAGTGAAGTTTGGGGGTGGCAATGGAGAGAGGGTGTTGTTTAAGGGCTTGGGGTTTTGAACTCATTGAAGAGAGAGAGAGAGAGAGAGAGAGAGAGAGAGAGAGAGAGAGATGAGGGGTTGGCAGTGGCTACAACAGCTTATGGCAATGGCAATGGCGACAACGGTGGTTGAAGACAATGGCCCACCTCTCTTCATCTCACTCGCCACATGCAACTCCTCTTCCAGCCTACACCAACTCCTTTTTTTTTCTTTCTTTAACCAATGGCATCTCCTTCATTGTTCCTCCCTCCTCCCATCTCTGCACCACCACCTTATTTCCCCCACCACTCACCACCTCCCCTTTCGATTCCCACCAAGCCGAAACCCCTTGCCCACAGCCTCCCTCCCACTGATCAAACACCCCAATACACATTGAAACCCCTCAACACTAAAAGCCCTATATTAATTCAACATATGTCCACTAAAATCCCCCCACCTAATCAACGTATCGCCATCAAAACCCTCAATTCTTTTGCTGTGAAACTTTTTTATCAAATCATAATGGCTTGGCTAATAAGGGTTCTCTAGTTGGTATTAGCCATGAGAGTTTCTAGTTATGGCTTGGCATTTCTGGCCATGTAGAGTTGCTGGTTGTGTATATAATAAGGCTTTTTTAGTCATAAATTTTTAATTACAGTATGATACATTTATGCCAAATGACTACCGGTGTGATGACAGAAGAGGTTTAGAGTTACAAAACAAAACTATAAGCGGGTTGAGTGTTGAATTTTAAACATTGATTTTTAACTTGACAATGGGTCATAGTTGAGAGGAGTTTACTGTAATTTACCCTAAAAATATATATGTTGTTAGAATAGGAAAATAATGAATTGTATTCTTATTTATTCCTTTTTTAGTTGCTTGAATTTTTTAGTTGCTTGAATTATGCCTGTAATTGATCAGAATTATCAATATAAAAGGGAATGAAGTCTAACTCATTCCCTAACTCTTTCTTTTCTCTAAACCTACATATGTGTATATATATGTATGTATGTATGTATATATATTAATATAATTTACCCTAAAACATTGATTTTTGTTCTTTGTGTGGTGTAGCTAAAATTAAATACAACAATAGGTTGAGTTAGGAAGATTCATAATTCTCAACCAAACTTGCTAGCATGTCCACCAACAAAGCACACCTACAGTAGGCAAACATTTTTTCTTTAATTTGTTAAAGTTATATATTCCTTTATTTTTATTTTTCCTTCATGTCTTGTGAGGGCCTGAACCTTGCACCTTATCTTTTTGGGTATTAAGAGATAGCACTGAGCTAATAGCTGATATTTTATTTATTTTATTTTTTAAATTCTAAATAATGAATTAGAAACAAAAGGTTGGTTTCTATTTAATGAGGTTTCTGTAAACTAGTTTTAAAAAATAAAGAAACAAGAAGAGGATGGGTAAACAGGAACACATGGTCCCTGCCCGGCCCCACTCTTTGCCCGTGCTTCCAGTATTTAACATGATGTGAAAGCAATAATCAATAATTTGTGGTTGAATTTGAAGTTTATTAATTACATATTTTTTACAGGTTACGCGGTCTATTGGTGATGATGATCTGAAGCCTGCTATGATTGCAGAACCTGAGATAACTGAGACCATATTGTTTGTAGAAGATGAATACTTGGTAAGGTCCTTTGATCTGATAATCTTCTGTTATCTGGGGTTTATTATTTGTGTGCTACGAGAAACTAATAAATGGATTTGTGGCTTCTAAATAGACTTTTATGTACAGTTTCCAGGGAAATCAGAAATTTTAAATAAATGTAGTTGCATCTGCTTTAATCACTTTAAAAGCATTTGTTCTATATGCATTACCAAACACAATTTTCTGTAGTGCCTGGATGATCATAGCACAATTCATGTTCTTGCAATTTGAAATTTGTAGGCCCCCAATTTAGAAGGTCCCGTACTTGGAAATGTTATTAGCAAGACAATTGAATAATCCTGAGATATATTATTGAAGTTTGAAATTTGTAGCCTTACAAAACAAGATTTTCTCCAAGTGTTTCCCACAAACACTCCATTAATCCCAATAGTTTAAAAACCCTTTTACGAATGATGTGGGAAAGAAGTAACACAAGGTTTTAGAACAATATACTTTTAAGGAGTTGAATTTAAACAACAAAGCTCAAAAGCAAAAGAATATGGAAGTTGAAGCTTAAAACTTGAAAGATCTTGATGGGTATTACATTTAATCCTTCATCCCATGTTTGTAGACATGTAAAAATCTTGTTTTATAGCCCTTCGTCTCATTTTGGTCATTCCAGTGCAGTAAATGCGTCTCTAACAGTTGAAACGAAGTAGCTGTTGCATATTTTAGAATTTAAATTTCGCGACGAAGGAGTCAACTTATTTTGAATCTAGGTTAAATCTGAAGCTCTCAGAACTTTTCTTAAGGGATTCGATTTATTTTGTCAAGGAGTTGACTAATCCTTTTATCTGCATGACAACTGGAGTTCAGGGTCGAATCATTTATTTGAGGTCGCCTCAAGACCTTCAATGTTTTTAAGATTTTCACGTGTTAAGCATCTCAAACTCATCCAAAACCCTTTCTAACTCCAAAATAATTTAGATAATGAACATTTAATCACAAAACAAATATCAAAGACTTATTTTGGAGCTTTTTAATCTCAATCATTACAGCAGGAAAAATGTAAAACTTTTAAAACACTTGTACTCCTTTTGTAATGAATTATTCATCAAATACTAATGACAAAATCATGTTACATTCTCATATTTCATTAAGCTATCCAATAGCTAACACCAAAGGATATTGACAATTCAAAGTACAAGTTTATCATTTGCTAGCCACTCACTAATTTTGTATTGTGAAATATCAAACATATATCACTGTAAAACACAACCAACAAAAGCATCATAGACAATATCAAAACTAAACCATAGGTCTAATTTCTCTTTCATTTGAAGCATTTTGAGGCTTCTTGAATTCAACCCTTATTCTTTTGTTATGTTTACAGTTAAAATAGAATACAAGTATCTTGGCAAACTAACCCCAAGGGGTTGGCCTAGTGGTCAAGACCTAGGCCTGGGGTGTGCTCCCTTCAAAACCTTCTAAGTGCAAACAATTTCTGGGACTTTGCCCCGACCCCCCACTAGTGGATGGTGGGATTGGTCTTCCGGAGTAGTCGGTCTAGTGGGCCAGATGCTGAGTTATCAAAAAAAAATTATCTTGGCAGACTTGTAATTATTCTAATTTGTATTATGCTTTTCGTTTGTTAGTGCATAACACAGGTAGGCACTCAGATCAAACTTATTCAAAAGAGATCGTATACCACAATTTGAACGATTATGGTTTATGCCTTTGTTTTTCGGTTCTAAAAATAAAAAAATTCGAGCAACCTTGCCCTATCTCTTCCCTCCCCATTCACACCTCATCTAGCGACCTTTGCCCTATCTCTTCCCTCCCATTCACACCTCATGGTTTCAAAGCATTGAAATAAGACAATACAGGGAGGGTGTGGAGTAAGCCTAGAATGAGAGAGTGTTTTGACGATTGAACTTCCATAGAACTACATGTAAAGTGAGACAGTCCATACCTAATATTAGGAAGATAACCTCTCTAGTATATTTGGGAGTGGTTAAGTTTGAGATAACATTATAGTGTTAAAGATATCAGAATATATGAAGATCCATAACTGAAGGGATTTGATTGTATCTCCCACTTTATATATATGGTGTACCATGTAATCAAGAGGATTAAGTAGTGTGAATAAAAGATTTAGCCCATAGGGCTTTGTATGTGTGGACGTAGGCCAAGATTGACTGAACCACATTAACTTTTTGTGTTCTTTCTTCTCTCTTTTCTATTTTTATTATCTCTTCATATTCAACCTTCTTGTCATATTACCAATATCAACTATTAACACCTACCTTCACATGCTTCTCATATTTCTGAACTTGGAGTTATATTCTTTTAGTTTAGTGATCTCCAAAAAATGATCTTTTGAAAAAAATTACAGTGGCTGAAAAGGGGGTAGGAAGTAAAACCCTAGATAATTTTGCGACCTTTATGCTTTTCCCAATAATTCTTATTTAATTCAAATGCTTATGATTTATGTTTCATTTGTAATCAGACCATTTTCAAAATTTTGCTTTATTTATGACGGATGGTTGTGACTTGTTAGCATATCACATTTTTATAGAGAGAGTAACAATATGTGTTCGACTGTCAGGTTATGGCTAGCGATGGCTCTGGGATGTTATGAGCAATGCAGAGATTGTTTGCATAATAAAGGACACAGTGAAAGAGCCTAGGATGTGCTCAAAGAGATTGGCAACCGAGGCTGCTGAACGTGGAAGCAAAGATAATATAACTGTTATTGTCGTTTTCCTGCATCCTGCATCTACTGCAGAGAGGATTTACTAGGTTTGATGGTATTCTTATACAAATTGTTTTGTATCTATGAAATTAATTTTAGTGAGACATGGAAATAAACCAGAGGTGGTAGGAAAAGGTTTACCTCCTCGTCTTGTGGAAATTGTATGTGTACATTTATTTTTAGTGGGAAACTACACAGCATATGCTTGTATTATTGGATTTCAATGTGCATATATGGAATAATATTGTTAATAGATATTTAATGTGTTCACAATGCGCGCGCGCGCGCACACACTCTCGCTCTCTCCCCCAAAAAAGCAGATTTCAATGTGCATATATGGAATAATATTGTTAATAGATGTTTAATGTGTTCACAGTGCGCGCGCGCGCACACACACTCTCTCTCTCTCCCCCAAAAAGGCTTGAACACTTCATTAAAATTAAACTGTACTACATGATTAAGGCAGGAATTTTTGATATGATAATACGATTCAAATCTACATGAATATGTATATGGCACGACTCGTTAGCACGAATATTAAATAGATTGGATTACTGTCGAATTTGTATAGAACAAAGCTGGCACGAATAATCGGTATAATGAAAAATTAGTTACATATTTAATATTATTTCTATTAAAGGGTGTTATGACATTTTTTAATCTCTTATATAACTCCATCTAACTAAGAAAAAAGCATGTAAAATAGGATTTTAAAGCTAATAAAGGTTTTGTTTTTGTTTTCAATTGAAAATTTATTTGTCTACTGTTTGAGTTAATTTAGTAAAAATATATATATATATATATATAATAATAAGATATTGTTTTTGTAAATTAAGAAAATCAAATTGAATTGAAATCAAATATTCTTATGAATAATTTCATTCAATATAGATTAGTTTCATAAAAATTAAATTGTGAAGAATTTTTTTATTTTATTTTTTGTACGCTTGATATTTTTAGCTTATGGTAAAATATTTTTACATGACACGTTAATACTATACAAATCGGATACAAATCAGAAATGACATGACACAATAACACGAAATAATACATGAGTTAGGTTATTATTAAGATAATTTTGACACATTCAAAATGTCACGACACGAACACGACGCCGAAAGCATGCGAAGAAAGTAAGAAAACCTATTTTTTTGTACGCTTGATATTTTTAGCTTATGGTCAAATATTTTTACATGACACATTAATACTATACAAATCGGATACAAATCAGAAATGACATGACACAATAACACGACACGAGCACGACGCCGAAAGCATGCGAAGAAAGTAAGAAAACCTATATAATTATATTAGTAAAGCGTAAAGATTTTTCCTCTTCTTATTATCTCTCAGGTTCATCCCTCTTTTGATTTATTAACTAGGGTTTCAGGCTTGTTGATATTATTATGGCTGTGAAAGGCCTCAAATGAGAGATTTTTCTTGCTTCACTCCCAGCATTGAAAATAGGCAACCTTGTGTCAATATGAGCTCGTCCGAAGATCGTGATTTAGCTGTTGCGAACTCCTCAGCTTTCCGCTAGACCCACCCTCTAGCTGTAAAAATTAATGTCTGCCATTTATTTGGTTCATAACCATCACTACTATATCATAATCTAGGATCACAAAATTTCTAAACCAAGACAACTACTATACACAATTCTAAAAACAAAAAAACAAAAAATAACAACCACTACTATTCGTGATAATCAAACACAACTATAAATCATTAACCAAACATTCCTAATGTTATCTTGGCTAATAAATTTGGTTGGAGATTTAGCAAATGAAAGGGAAAAAGTATGTAAAATGCGAATAAAATATAGTTACATTTTATCTACATTTCACAGAACTTTTCCTTTTTCTTTTCAAATCCTTACTAAAATTTATTAACCGAATACAACCTAAATATTTGGGGAAAATCAAAACAATACACTTTTGGATATTCTAAATAAGTGCACTTTTTGACTTTTTATAAAATATGAGTTGGGTATGGGTTGGGTTTAAAGTGATGTGATAGAGAGGTGATATGACTTCTAAATAAGTGCATTTTTTGAATTTTTATAAAATATGAGTTGGGTATGGGTTGGGTTTGAAGTGATGTGATAGAGAGGTGATATGACTTAAATAAGATGATATGACTTAAATAGGATAGTGACTTTTTGACTTTTTAATTTTTTTAGAGGATGACAAACAAGGACGACAAGATTTTTCTTTACTCTAACCAGGGGCACGGCTATAGATTTTCTTGTAATTTTATTGTGCATAGCTTTAAACTATAAACGAACGAAATGATATTTGCAATGCTTTGTGATCGGGGAGAAGTTTGGTATTAAAATAGTTAAAAACTTATTCAAAAATCAAAAAGCTTAAAACTCATATAAAAAACAAAAACTCATTTTTTTATTTTTCTGCATATTTTCCATAAAAAATGAAATAAAAATTAGAGTCATTTACAAACACTTTCATTTTTCACTTCGTATTTTAATAAAAAATTTACTAAAAATAAATCACTTCCCAAAAGAAAATTAAAAGATGGGAAGACGAGTAATGGTATTTGATTGTATTTGTACCAATGTAGTCACTATGTTAAACCACTTGCGTGGCTAGTCCTTTGGTCACTAAGTCTCTCTAAAGGAGAAATTTTGAGTTACACTCTTAGGAGTATAATAGGAGGCAAGACTTAGTGTTTGTTAGGAGAAGGTGTGAGTTCGACTCCCTTAGATGTTAATATAATAACTAATTACTAATTTTTGCTAATAAGAAAATAAAAAATAAAAGCAGAAAAATAATGAAAAAAGAAGGGTTGAAGATGGAAGAAAAAGTAAAATAAATGAGAAGAGAGGGGAAGGAAATAGCGAAAATATTGTACGTAAATATATTAAAATATACATTTTTATAATTATAAAAAAAAATTAAAAAAAGAATATCATTAAATATGCAATAATTTTCCCAATCAATATTAAAATAGATGTATATTTGCAAAACAAAAAATAGAAAAGAAAATAATATTATATGGATACTTTTTTCATATTATAGAATAAGTAGTGCTATATAAAAAATATAAATAAAAATTGTACACAAATATTGCAATAAAAACAAAATAAGTAATGCTATATGGGTGTAATTTTTATCATTGTTACATCATTTTGAGAGTAAATTTTATATAAAAATTATGGTGACATATCATTTTTCTTGTAAAAACATTATGTTAATTTGGACCTAAACATCTAAAAATTCAAGAAATGACTAGTGTACACACCCTTTAAAAAAAATAATCACACCATAAGAATCTCTAATTCTAACCCTTAAATATTTGAAAATTAATGTGTCCATTTATGTGTTTTACAACTATCACCACTATATCATAAGCTAGCATCACTAAATTTAAAAACAAAGATGACCACTACACTCAAATAAAAAAATAAAATAAAAAAAAGGCAACCAATACACGTGATAATCAAACACCACTATAAATCATTAACAAAACATTCTTATGTATTTGGGGAAGAAAAAAAGATTGGGAACTCTAAATTAAGAGTTTTAATAGTTTTAATTGGTGTGTAGGTCTCATGTGATGTGATTTTTTATTTTGGTTTTTTTCTTTTTTTTTTTTTTTTGATTTCTCACATTATTAGTGTTCTTTTAGAACTCCCAAATTAAAGGGATGTATCATTACTGATTTGGGAAAAACCAAATCTGTACATTTAATAATGCAGAATTTTCTTTATCTAGCAAGGCCCACAACTATAAATTTTCTTGTAATTTTATTGTGCATAGCATTTAACTATAAATCAGCCAAATAATGTTTGCAATGCTTTTGTGATTGAAAAGAAATTGTTTGGTGTT